CGCTGGCTGCCCGGTGTGCTGCTGGACCTGGGAGACGGGCCAGGCGGGGCGGTGGGACTGACAGGGGCGAGGAGAGGGTGTGGCGGGGTCCTCCCCAGTGCAGGTGGGGTGAGCAGGAGCCCCCTTCCGGCCCCAAGCTCGGGGTGCTGTGGCCAGGGTGGAGGGGTCCTGGTCTCTCCCTGTGCTCAGGCGGACACATTCAGGGTGCAGTGGCCGGGCACAGGCCCCCAGGGTTTAGTGACGGTGCCAGCAGAGGTCCCAGGTGCCCGCCCCGCACGGTGACCCAGCCCTGGCTTGCACCTTGGAAAGGGCACAGGGGCTGGAAGGCCATGGCAGGGGCGGGTGGGGCAGAGGGTGACCGTGCTGGGACCCGGCCCTGCAGACAGACAGAGCGTCCCCAGCTTCCTGCATCTGAGAGAGCTCATGGATGCAAGCGCCGCACTGGAGCTCAGCAGGGAGGCGGTCGTGCTCCCCAAAGACGGTACCCCTGTCCGGGCCGCGGTCCTGGGCCTGCCCACCCTGCTGCATGGGTCCAAGGGGTGGAGATGTGGGCAGCTCCGTGTGTGTCCAACCCTGCAGTCCTCCGCCTGCCCGGGCTGGGGCCCCTGGGAGCCTGGACACAGAAGCACGGGTCCTTGGGCGCCCCCCTCACAGCCTCCGTCCCCCCAGCCTCCTGCGCACACACCCTCCTGCCGTGACACCCAGGCCCCGCTCTTCCCAGGACTCGTGACCCCAAGGCTCTGCTGCTGCAGATGGCAAGTCTCCCCTTCTGCGGCTCGTGGGGGGCTTGGTGACCCCAGGCCTCACTGGGGGAAGGCGGGGCTCTGAGCGCAGAGCGGAGGGGGCACAGCCTCTTGGCAGGAGGAGCCGTGTTGGCCTGGCACAGGGCCCCGTCTGCTGTGGAGCAGCCCCGGCCCGACGAGCAGAGGCCGGGCCCCGGGTCTTCTCTCTGCCGCTGCCTGCAGGCCCAGATGTCCTGCACGGTCTCCGGAAGCCACTAACCTCTCCCCCAGACCCTCGGAGCACCTGTGGTCCACGTGCCGGGCGGCAGGCGAGCGGCTGGGCCCGGAGCCTGAGCACAGCAGGCAGGTGCAGCCCTTGGTCTGGTGCCCAGTCGATCACAGCAGCCGGACCAGCAGTCACAGGCCCGAGGTCGCCCAGGAGCCACAGCACAAAACAGCCACGCACCACACCTACACCACCTGGTGGAGGGAGAGCTGCAAGAGGGAGGGACGAGGGGCCGAGACCCACGGGTGACAGTGGGACCCAGCTGGAGCATGGGGGGAGGAGATGGCTTTGATGAGATCCGAGTGGGACTTGCTTATTTTATTTTTTGAGACTGTCCCAATGAGGCTCTAAGTTGTCAGGCTGGGCTGGAACCTGCCATCCTCCCGCCTCAGCCTCCCAGGGTGCTGGGACTGCAGGCCTGGGCCGCCAAGCCTGGCTCTTCCTGTCACGCTTTACTAGAAGTACCAGAAGGAATCAGGCGGCTGGAAGTCCCCGCAGGTGGGCTCTGCACGCACTGGGCCCACCTCCCACCCCGTGCCAGACCTGAAGGGACGTTGGCCTCATTTTCCTGTGCCTCCTCGCAGCGGGCAGCCTCCCCACGGCCACCTGGCTCCTAGGACCCCCAGGACTTTCCCAGGCCTGCGTTCCAGGTGTCTGGTGGCCGCGCTGAGAAGTTAAAAAGCCATCGCGTGTCCTATCTGACCCGGGAACCAGGAAAACAGAGGCCCTGGGTGCCTGGAAGAGCCCCTGCGGCCAGCGCGGTCGCGTCCACCCAGGCGCAGATCCACAAGGGTACGCGGTGCGGCTCCTCTACTTCGTGTGGGTCCTGTCCGCCGCTGCGCTGTCCGGGGACCCCGAGTTTGCGCCTCCTATGGCTGCACTGCGCCCCGGGCCGTGCGCATGGAATCTGAGGTTGTGCAGCCCCCACGCCGGGGTCCATTAAACCCTCGAGCCTGTTCTCCGTCACAGGCAGATCACGGGAACGCGTGGTCCCGCGCTCCTTCCTCTGAGCTCCGCTGGGCAGGGCGCTGCATCTGTCCTAGGTCTGGTTTGAACCCGTCCCCTGCGAGGCTGTCCGTCCCCGGCTGTCGAGGAGGAGAGGGAGCCCGCCTGCTCCTCTGGGTGGTTTCGCTGGTTCTGAATCACCCGTGGGGTTTGGGGCAGCAGCATCGCGGGTGGGCGACGGTGCCCTCGTCACAGCCGCCAGGCGGCGCTGTGACCTGCTGTTTCCCCCTGACTGCCGAGCCCCCCAGGGGATGTCAGTTCTCTGCAGCCAGTGGGCAGCGTTGCTTTGAGCGTCCTGCGCCTGGGCAGCCAGGCAGAGCAGTGAGACGCCCGGATGTTCCTGAGGGCAGAGGAGGCCAGGCCCGGAAATGGGCGGTGGATGCCACTCGGGGGGGCGGGCGGGACGCCCAAGCGAGCAGAGCCCTGACCGCTCCTTCCTGGCTCCCTGGCCAGAGCAGGCCATGAGGAGGAGCCCTGGGGCCCTGCCCCTCCCTCCAGAGGGGTCTTTTACATCTCTCAGCCAAGGGCCACAGAGCCAAGGACTGGCACACACAGAGGTCACTGTCCTGCGTCCAGATCAGCGGCCTCCAGTTCCAGCGCCCACACAGCCCAGCTCTTCAGGTTGGGAGTGGCCACCTGGTCCTGGTTTCTCAGGCTCCATGTCCCCTTTAGGCCTGGCAGTGCCCAGGGCAGCTGCCATCTCTGTCCTAACCCTGCCAGGGACAGTGGGGAAGGACAGGGACAGGAACAGGGGAGAAGAACAGGGACAGGGGAGGAGGACGGAGAGAGGGACAGGAACAGAGGAGGACAGGGAACGGGACAGAGGAGGAGGAGGACAGGGAGAGGCCCCTAACCTGTTCCTGCCTCCAGGGCCATGCTGAAGGTGGCCGCGTCACCTAAGGGAGTGGCTTCTTCCATTACACAGTGGGTCACAGTTCCCCTGCACTGTAGCACGAAGAGTCCCTCTTCGTGAGAGTCAAGTCCTGTGGTGTGATGACACCACACACGCTGTTCACCCACTCACATGTTTTCATCTCTCTTGGATGTGCACCCAGGAGCCGAACTGCCAGGTCATATGGTAGCTGTGTGCTCACCCGCACCGGGTTCCCACCACCAGGATCTGACTTGGCTCTGGCATTCTTGTGGGGCCCAAGTAGTACTTCCTGAGGCTTTGATCTGCCCCAGTTCCCTAGTTACTAATGACGCTGGGCCTCTTCTCCCGTCCTATTGGCCATCTCAGACCTGGCTGGAGGAGAGCCTGCCTGTCAAATCCACTGCCTGTATTGAAGGGTCCATTTGATGTCCCTGAGCTGTGTTTTATTCTCAAGTGCTCTCGACATCAGACCCTGATCAGATGGGTGTTTTAAGAATATTCTCACATTCTATATCTTATCATTTCACTTCCTTGACCTGGGTTCAAACTTTCAATCCTCCTGCCTCAGCCTCCTGAGTGCTAGGATTATAGGCGTGTGCCCTAACCCTAACCGTAATCCTAACTCTACATGTTGGTGAGGTCCAAGTCGTCTGTTTTTCCTTCTGCCTCTGGTTCTTTGGGTGTTGCATATGATTTTGCCTCACCAGGCCAAGGCCACAGTGATTTGCCCGTCCTCTGAGAGTTCACTGTGCGGAGGTTGGGTCTGCTGAGTGAGTTTCCGCCCATGGGGACTGAAGTCCACCCCATGCTCCCAGGTGGGGCCACTTGCTGAGCAGCCTGTCCCGTCCCCCTGCATCGCTGCCCCTCACTGCTCCTCTGCGCTGGCCATGGCTCCCTGCGGCTCCTGCTGGGCCGCGGTCTCCCCTCCCCAGGGCCTGGCGTCGGGGTCATAGCAGGACCTCTGTGCCCCTCCGGGCTCTTCCTCCCGCGCCTGTCCCTCTCAGTCTCCGGCTCCCGTGCTGGTCAGTGCTGCTGCCCGAGTCCCTCCCCGGTCTCTGCTCCAGCAAGGCCGCCCTGCCTGGGCCCCTCTCTGCCGGCCCCACTCTCCCCTCGGCTTCGAGCTGCAGTGAGGACGGCTGACCTCGTCTCCCGCGCTCAGGGGTCGCAGCCGGGTCCCCTGGGGTCAGTGTCTGCACACAGCCCCGTCACAGGTCCTGAGCCGCTTTCCCTCCTCCCATGGTGGGGCGATCGCCCGCACCTGTCACTCCCCGCCCCCGGGCAGACGTCACGCCAGGCCCCGTCCCCCAGGCCAGCACCGAGGTCCCTCCCTGGCCTCTCCCGCCGGCCCTTCACGCCTCATCTCCCCGCCATCTTCAGTCCTCTGTTCAAGTGCGGCCTTGGTGAGGCCGACCCGCACCGAGCCATCCACAGCACAAACACCCCCTTGTCCCCGCGGCCACGGCCGACCTGTTCCATTTGCTTTTCCCCTTAGCTCTGTGACCTTTAATGAAAATGATATGTAATTATATGAATCAGCGATCAATCAGGAGAGAGCCGCACAATGCCCTGAACAGGAAGAGTTTGTCTGATGAACAATGAACAATGCAAGTGCAAGGAGAACCGTAAGGGGTGGTTCAGGGTCGCGGCAGAGCTCACGAGGAAGACGTAACTGGGGAGGGAGGGAGGGTCCCTTCCACAAGGCTGGTTCAGACCTCATGGGAGAAGCTGTGGCTACAGCCAGGTGGGGGGAACCTTTGCTGGGGTCATGGCTGGGGCAGGGGCAACAGCTAGGGAGGGGTGGGCTGGCCAGGCAAGGAGGAAGTCTCTCTGCCCTCCCATGAGCTGTGGCCTGGGCTAGGGAGCACTAGGATTCTTCAGAATCCACTTGTGGGGTGCCCTGTACCTCGAATGGAAGCCCTCCCTGGGGCCCACTGAGGTCAGTGTGAGAGCCCCAGGTGCCCCCTCCATGCCCCTTCCCCTGGTTCAGCTGCAGGTGGGGGATGGAAGCTTCCTGGAAGGAGGGAAGAAGACCCATCCTCCTGAGCCTCTACCAACAAGGCTTAGCATCATGCCAGGCATAGAAGAAGAGTAGATACCCAGTGGATCCAGCTCCATTATCACCGAGCAGGCAATGAAGGGTGTGTAGATGGTGTTACATTTGTAATTTGAGAGTTCATTTTTAGAATGTGGGCACACAACTGATTTTTGTATATTTATCTTGTGTCCTACAACCTTGCTGAGCTCATTTATCAGTTGTTGCTTTTTTTTCTTTTCTCTTTTGATTGTAGATTCCTTGGGATTTTCCACACAGTTAATCATGTCATCTGCAAGCATAGAAAGTTTTATTTCTTCTCCCCTGACCTGTATCTTTCAGTTACTGGATCTTTCTACAGTGCCTTAAACACAAGCCTTTGAGCGCACATCCTTGCCTTGATTGGGGTATTAGAAAGGGGAACATTCGATCTTTCACCATTAATAATAATAGGGTTTTTGTAGACCTTCTTTATCAATGTAGGAGAATCCCCCTCTATTCTTTCTTTTCGTAGAGTTGTTATCCAGAATAGTGTTGTTTCTGTCAAATGGCTTTTCTGCATTGATTGGTGTGAACATGTAATTTTCTAACTTGTTTATATGATTTTACTTTAAAATCGAACCCACCCTGGTCAGCAGTTTCCTGCTCAGAGTACCTTCCACCCTGGCGACAGCATTGGGCCGCACACCCTCAGGACATGAGACTCTACAGTGCCTGGGCCGGACCATCTTGGCCGAGCACAGCAGTGCCACTGAGTGCCCACCACCTGCACTCAGAGTGCGGTCAGCTGGGTCTCAGGCCAGTGACTCAGACCC